TGAATCTTTTAATAGAGACAATATCTATGGTGCCTTGCATGAGTTTGATAAACACCACTATTTATAACTTACAAATTGGACTCAAAATATTTACCAAAGTAAACTTTTTTTTTCGTTGTAAAAAGTCCTGTTCGGAAATACATGTAGAAAAATACCAGATTATGTAGGTGTCAATTTTCAGCTACCCTTCTCCATAAATTTTGATGGAATGATTGATACTTGGCATTTAAAGCAAGCCAAAAGTGGACAAGCTACTGCCTTGATTGTTGGCACAAAGCTCACTTAAGCATTTGGAAGATGATTTAAAAAGTGAAATATGTGTGTTGTAAAACCATTTATTTACAAATATGAAAAGTGTGAAGTCTTGTAGTGCATATATGCATTTTGTCCCAATTATTTTGTGTCTCTCCTTTGTATTCTGAGTGGTGAAGTTAAGTGGTGCACAGAGTATTACATCACTTATAACCCTTTGAGCTATGATGTGAACTGACTGCTGAGTTTTCTCAATTTTTCTGGAAGTGTGGCTTGTGAGATTCATGCTTTGGGTTTCAGATTTATATTTCTATTCAGCTAATGTATATTATGAAGGGTGCCAAAATTTCATTCAGCATATTTTCCACATTCTCAGTATTCAACAGCATTCCTCTAGATAAAAACTTTAACTTAACTATTATCTGTAACTTATCTGTTAAATGTTTGAATGAATGTAACATTGGTACTGATTTGTAGACAGCCATTTTTGGTGCAGGTACTCAAGACAACCTTCTGTACAGTTTTTCCTTTATTTATATTCAGTTAAGGAGAACATATAATTACTTTATGAACGATTTTCGGTTCACTTTACCATCTTATAGTGAGTGAAATTGTCTACCACTCATGTATTGAGAAGTGGTTTAGGGATAGATGTGATGTGTTCCATGTTACATTTCTTCAATGCTCTTTCTTTGGCTCAGCCCATACGGTGCATTTTTGTTTTGCTAGATCTGTGTTAAAAAGGTCTGTGGAAACTGACCAACTTTTCCGGTTCAAAGAAAATATTTGCTGGGTAGCTTTACATAGATCAATGTAAAGAAATGCTGCTGCCAGGAAAGTTAATAATAATGACAGCAACTTCAGAGCAGCACACTAGTACAAAAGTGCATGTTTTGAACAGTTCCACAACAAAACTTGACAAAAACCATTTTCAAAGTTCGACTGAAAGCAGCATTGTCACTTGTTAAAAAAACTGCAGTAAGTGATGCTTTTTTTCCCAAAACATGACAGAAGCAGTTGGCATTCTTCACAAACCATGGTGTATCCTCTACGTACAAATCAAATTCTTTCGCCAAGTCTGGAAACTTTGCTTATTTATGGTAGACAAAAGTTTATCAGCGATTCTTTCCTTTCCTGATTATTGTAAGTCTTAAGTTTCGAAATCCATAAGCACAGAAACTGAACGGCAGTGGAACAGTACCGTGATTGAATATCTGGTGTCGCAAGTGGCAACTTCAATGTTTGAATCCATAGACACGGTATGGCACACCAGGTTTGCACCTTTTTGTGTTGTTTCAATGCATTAGCAGCATAGCACCTACCCAGTCAAAACTGTCTATAAAAAAAAATCTTATCTTCAAATGTGTCCATGCCGGTCAATATCAGTCATATGAAGGAAATTTCAAAACTGAATTAACATTATTTTAAAAAACGATCACTTTTTCCCTATACAAAAGTCACCCCTAAGATCCCGCTCTTATTCATTCTGAAGGTCTACATTCAGCTAAGATCCCGCGTTTCAGATCATAATTTGCGGAACAAACACTCGGGCGGGACAGCCGATCAACCAAGAGTGAAAAGTTGAGATCAATAAACTGTCCGTCGCGTCAAAGATCAGCCACTATCGTGAATGTGATCACTTACACGTTGTAAAACTCGATGAAGCGATACAAAGTTTGCCCCAGACGATATTCACACTGGGGTGTGAACTGACCGACACGTTTGTTTTCCCCGAACATTGCACTCGCATCTGAGCTCTCCCCCTAAACTTACATCACTCGCTGGGTGGGTAGGGCCTATACGTTCACTCCAGGCGGGATCACATGGAACTGTGAACTCTTCCCTGACCATTGCAGCAGTTGTCTCTACTCCCAAATTTGCGAGAGAGACTGAATTTTAATTGGTGTGTTCACAATGCAATGGTGTGTAACGACAAAGGCGGTTTGGGGGGGTGGGGGATGGGGAAGGGGAAGTCGGTCAGAGATGGAAAACTATAAATTTTCGACAGGTAAGGGGAGGGGCAACTGGATTAGCGTAGATCTTGAGACTCATGATAGGATAATAAGTGAAAATGGCACGCCTCATCCCACTATGGGCTGTGATAGGTCATCAAGGTTAACCACTCTTTGCTCGCCATCTGTCATAAACCCACCAAGTGGACACATCAGTTCATTTTAGAGTATAGGGAGACCATTTTACCGATTGTGAGTCTAGCATGGGTCACCATAGATTCTTCCCTGGGTTCGTTGGTTAAGATCCCGGTTCGCCTAAGATCCCGCATTTCCTTGCTCCCGAGCACCGGGATCATAGGCAGAGACTACTGTAGTCGTTTATTTTTATCTTAAATGAAGCAGAAGACATCAAACTTCCACTAGATCCGAAAAAAAAAAATGTCGTGGAAAGCTACTTTTTTGCCTTTCGAGCCTCATAGCTGATAATACCACACTGCGTCTCACGACTGATATTGACCGGGGGAGACAGAAATATCTCTTTAACTGGTGAATTAATGTAACCTTTACTTTGCACATCAGTTTGTATCAATTTGTTTTAACTTAATCATATTTTTCCACTACAACTGATTCGAGATTAAATATACTTTTCTTCATAAATTTATATAAAATACAAAAAATCTCCATCACACGGAAAATGGGATTGTTCACAGCACTTCCTGCTTCTCGCACACATTTTACATATGCAAATGGCCTATGTCACAGCTCATCAATGACACTTTTTAATAGCAAAACTTGTAACAAGAAATTAATTATAAAGTGAACACATGTTCTCAAAACATGGGTTCAATATAAATAATATATAGATGGTGTCTCGATTAGAAAAAAAACGGACTTTCTTTTATTAGCGATATTGCCCTAGCTATAAACTTTTTATAATTGGTAGAAACCACCCACTTAGAGTTTTTTTTATTGGTATTAAAGAATTTTCTAGAATACACCAAGCAGGTGTTCACAAAAATATTGGTAAGTTAAGACAAATTGATACAAGTTATTGTGGAAAAGTTTGAGAGTCTATGTTCGATAGTTTAGGAAATATTTGACAATAAGTTGCGCTACGAATTTTTGACTGCACTATAGGTTCGTGAAACAAGAGCGTCACAAAAAGCAACGTAGCATTTTCTTTGGAATATTTAGGCGCCACACCCACATTTTTCTCTGCGGCAGTGACAGAATCGCTCCTGTGTCCGATTAAAAAAGTGTCGCTGCGGTACTGCAGAACTGCCGGTGCCGTCCCGCTGCCGTTCCATACTCATGGATTCAGACAATGGCATTTCCGTTTGAACAATCTGTACCATCTTGGTGCCGTTCCGCTGCAGTTCAGTTTCTGTGCCTTTAGATTTCCAGCTTTGTCATTATGCTTCAAAGTTTTTGATATAAAAATTTGTCACTGTTTGTTGAATTTAAAGCAAAGAGAAGTTTGTATTATGATTGGATCCTGGAAAAAAATGAAGAAGTAGCTATTCAGAGAACAATACAGACTAATGGAATTTAGTTGTAACAAACAGTTTTACAGGATCACTTCATCTATTGGTTTTGTTATCATTATCATTATAGTTTTATGGATAGTATTAGTAGTCGTCTTCAAGTAGGACCCAAAGCTGCTTTTTGAAACTCGTATTATTTGAAATAGATTTGTCTCATTTTGTACAAGATCAATACCAATTTGTAACATTTTCATCTTACAATAAATGTCAGCCTAGTCTTACCATCTTTACTTGTAAAACAAAGCTGCTTGAATTATTCTACAAGTAGGTAAAGAATAAAATCTTCATTTTTCTGAAAACGAAAAAATGGATGTTGCATTTTGTTATGAAACTGTTCAATTACCTTCAGATATTACTATACTTTTCATACTTTTCATTGTATATTATGATTTTGTTCATTCAAATGTAAGGGCTTATGGATGTGATGGGTGGAGTTAAAAGGCTGAGGTCAAATAAGGTCTTGCAAAACATTGTTTAAAATATTTTTCAGCGTGGTGGTTCTACTGTGGTTCTTTGGGTGCCACAACAACACTCCTGCAGTTTTTTACCATTGCGTGGAAATTTACTCTGTAGAAAGAGGTGCTTTCAGAAGTACTTCATTCATATTATTTTACTTGTCGTTGTTCAGTTTGAGAATCATGTAGAGATAGGATTGGGGGCTCTCGTGGCCTAGAGGTTAAGGTGTCGGCCTCTCATTCAAAGGTCCCGGGTTCGAATCCGGGTAGCGACCGAAAAATTTTCTTCTCTAAA